ACCCTAGGCGATGCTTAAGAAAACTTAAGTTTTTGGCCAGAGTCTCGAGTATTCTTAATGTTTCAATGTAAATCCTAAGATTTCAATGGGAATTCTGGGTTTTTATTCAAATTCTGAGACTCTGAGTTTCTTAACCCATGATTTCTTAAGCATTTCGCAGAGTGTAGTGCTCTCCCCTGGGCTGCTCGCCCCTGCCGTCGCCTCTGAGGGGGTGCGGCTCCGCAGGGCGGCGAGGGCAAGCGGCGGGCGGGGCGGGGCGCGGCGCGCCCCCGGCAGCGGTTCGGCAGGTGCGGGCTGCCTCCGTGGTTGCAGCGGGTGCTGCGGCCTCGGAGGGGCCCGCCGTGCCCCTGGGCCCCCGTCGTGCGTCCTCCCGCCCTGCTCTTCTGCAGGAGGAGGAGGAGGAGGGAGGAGAAGGGAGGAGGAGGAGGAGGAGAAGGAGGAGGAGGAGGAGGAGGAGAAGGAGGAGGAGGAGGAGAAGGAGGAGGAGGAGAAGGGAGGCGTCCCTCCCGTCCGCACAGGCGCGCCAGCCCGCACGAGCATTCGTGCGTCGTGCGTCCTCCCGTCCTTCTCCTCTGCCCCCTCCTCCCCGCTCCATTGACCCTCCATGTTGCTGCACCTTTTTTTGTTGTGGTCATTCTCTTTACTTTCAGTGTTTTGTTTGTTTTGTCTCTCTCTCTCTCTGCATCCCTGCCACCTGTTTCCAACCTCTCCATTTCCTTCTCCCTTTCTCCCCCCTTTCTCCGCGCGCGTTTCGGCGATGCTGGGGACAGAGGGAGGGGCGACGAGAGAGAAGTAGGAAGGACGAACGGATGCCCCTCTGGCGCTCCGCCCCGCCCTGCCCGTGGAAGGGCTCTCGGTGCATTTGTTTCTCATCATCCTCGTCGTCCTCCTTGTGTTCCTCCTCCTCTCTGCTGCTCACCAGCAGATTGCAGGCCGGTTGGACGGGCTATACCCAGGTTGACCTGGTTTTTTGGGGGAATGCAAGTTTCGAAAGACCTCACACATTTGATTTCGATTGAAAGTCATGTTTAGAATATCTGGAGTGCCAAGCATGTGCCCTTAAGGGGTCCGCATGGCTTCCCGGGAAAACAACGGGGGGCAACCTATCGGTAGCAATGATATTCTGAGTGGGCGGCTCCTATGTGAACCGTTTTTTCCTCACTATATATATATATATATCAGTAGCCGACGTGCATCGCTTACGATTCTTTTGTGAAGCGCATGCGAACCGAATATGGTTCCAATGTGAATCGTATACGACTCCTGTATGAATCGCATACGGTTCCTACGTGAATCGCATACGGGTCCGATGCGACAAGTATACGAACCCAGTGTACATCGTATACCATTCCAATGATTCGTAGACGATTCCCATGTGAAACGTACACGAATCCTACGTGAGTCGTGGACAGATCCACTGTGAACCGTATAAGCTTCCGATGTGAAACGTATACAGCTACATGCGAATCGTATACACATCCCAAGCTTTCGACTCCGATGTGAATCGTATACGATTCCTATGTAGGTCGTATACGACCCCTATGCGAATCGCAGACAACTCCTACGTGAGTCGTAGACGGTGCCTACGTGAACCGTACACGAGTCCGATGTGTATCGTATCGGAGGTGAGGGGGTGAGATCGAAGCCGAAAGGAGAGCCTCCCTACCGAGAAATCGGTTTCGTGTTCGTGCGTGCCGTGCGTGCGGGCGAGGCGAAGCTGCGTGGGCGGGCGAGAAATACGTCTCCTGTAGCTGAGGCGCGGCTGGACCAAAAGTCTCCCTTCCGGCAACCGGTGCCCCGCGGTGTCCCGCCGGTGTCCCGCTCGGGGGCCGGTGGCGCGTGGTGTCCCGCCGGTGTCCCGTCGGTGTCCCGATGATGATGGTGATGATGATGATGATGATGATGATGATGTTGATGATGTTGACGATAATGATGATGATGATGATGATGATGATGATGATGATGATGATGATGATGATGATGATGGTGATGGTGATGGTGATGGTGATGGTGGTGATGATGATGGTGTCCCGATGATGATGATGATGATGATGATGATGATGCTGCTGATGATGATGATGTTGACGATGTTGATGATGATGATGGTGGTGGTGATGATGATGCCCCGATGATGATGATGTTGATGATGGTGGTGCCCCGATGATGATGGTGATGTTGATGATCCTGATGATGTTGATGATGATCTTTGATGATGATGAAGATGATGATGATGATGGTGTCCCGATTATGATGATGATGAGGTTGAGGATGATGCTGTTGATGATGATGGTGATCATGATGGTGTCCCGATGATGATGAAGATGATGCTGATGACGATGATGGTGTCCCGGCGATGATGATGATGATGATGATGATGCTGATGATGAGGATGCCGACGAGGTGATGATGGTGATGTTGATGATGGTGGCCCAGTGATGGTGATGATGCTGATGTTGATGATGATGGTGTCCTGGTGATGTTGATTCTGATGATGATGATGATGGTGATGATGATGATGACGATGATGATGGTGGTCCGATGATGCTGATGATGTTGAAGGTGATCCTGTTGGTAATTATGATGATGATGATGATGGTGTCCCGATGATGATGATGTTGATGATGATGTTGTTCATGACCATGATGATGAGTTGATGATGATGGTGGCGTTCCGACGATGATGATTGTGTCCCGATGATGATGGTGATGATGATGATGGTGACGATGATGGTGTCCCGATGATGATGATGATGATGATGTTGATGATGATGGTGATGAGGTGATGATGGTGATAGTGTCCCGATGATGTTGATGATGATGTTGATGACGTTGGTGACGATGATGTTGATGATGATGTTGATTGTGATTGTAGTATCGATAGTGAGATCGATAATTAGACCGAATGTGAGATCGATTGTGAGATCGATAGTATGATCGATTATGAGATCTATAATCAGATCGATTGTGAGATCGATCGAATGAAATTCATCGAGTGAGAGCGACTGTGAGATCGATCGAGTGAGATCGATCGAGCTGATCGATAGTTAGATCGATAGTGAGATCGATCGTGAGATCGATAGTGAAACCGATCGAGTGAGACGTTGGTTCCTCCCCCCCCCGAACCTCCTTGTCACCCGAAGGGTGGTCGTATAGGTACGATCTTTACGTGAACTGTATGCGCCTATGTTTTTCGTCTACGGCTCCTATGTGAATCGCAAGCGGTGTTTGTGTTAATCTACACGGGCCTTATGTGAACCGTTAGCGATCGTTTTGTCAGTTGTATACGACGTCCGCCGTTGCGAGGGCGAAGTCAAGACAACATATTCTCCCCCGCCCGCCCGTCCGTCCGTCCGTCCGGCGGTGGCTTGCGGTGTCCCGCGGTGTCCCGTGGTGTCCCGTGGTGTCCCAAAAAGTGAGATTGATAGTGAGATCGATGTTGAGATCGATGTGGTGCCCCGAGGTGTCCCGTGATAGTGAGATCGATAGTGAGATCGATGTGGTGTCCCGAGTTGTCCCGTGGTGTCCCGTGGTGGCCCGTGGTGGCCCGTGGTGTCCCGTTGAGTGAGATCGATAGTGAGATCGATAGTGAAATCGACAAGTGTCCCGTGGTGTCCCGTGGTGTCCCGTTAAGTGAGATCGATAGTGAGACCGATGCTGAGATCGAGAGGTGTCCCGCGGTGTCCCTTGGTGTCCCGTTGAGTGAGATCGATACGGGATCGATAGTGGAATCGACAAGTGTCCCGTGGTGTCCCTTGGTGTCCGGTTGAATGAGATCGATAGTGAGATCGATTGAATCAGATGTTGGTTTTCCCCTGCTCCCCCCCCCACACACAACATCCTTATTACCCGAAGGGTGTTCGTATAGGTACGAGTCTTATGTAAACCGTTTTCGGTCCCAGTGCAATTCGTATACAGACCCTCCTGAATCGCGCACAGGCCTTACATGTATTGCATACAGGCCCATCTGAATCGTATACAGACCACTCTGAATCGTATACAGAACCATCCGAATCGTATGCGTATCTTGCGCGAATCGTATAGTATTCCTGTGTAGGCTGTTTACGGAGTCTATGTGCATCGTGAACGATTACCATGCGAGTCTTAAACGAGACCAATATGAATCGTACACGGCTCCTTTGTGAATCGTGTGCGGTTCTTATGTGAATCGTCTACGACTCCTATGTGATTCGTCTACGATTCCTATGTGCTTCGCATGCGGCTCCTACGTGGATCGTGTACGATTCCTAAAGGAGCTGTGGGACACCGAAAAAGAAGCCGAAGGAATCTCACATATCCTTACGGAACCTTCGGGAATCCGACGCAACCCGAAAGAGCGCGCGGGACTCCGAAGGAAGCCATAGGGATCCTCTGGGATTCTACGGAATGGGCCGAACTGGAATCTTGAGGGATTATTCGCGAAATTTGCAGAATCCTGAAACGAATCCCAAAGAATTTTACAGGAATCCGAAAGAGTCCGATGGAACCTTAATGAACATCGAAGGCGCCCTCAGGAATTCGACAAGAATCCGTGGGGCGCTGAGGTCACCTGAGCCCCCGAAAGCGGCGGACAACCTCCCAGGACCCGTCTCTCTTAGACCCTTTTCCTTCATGAGCCATCGGGAAAGGGAAATAGAGAGAGAGAGAGCGAAGGGGTTCTTGACGGCCACGGCGAACCTCGCCCACCTTGGGGTTTGATGTTTGGGGTTTGGTGCTTGGTGCTTGGTGTTTGGTGTCGGGGTTTGGGGTTTAGTGTTTGGGGTTTGGGGGTTTGTTGTTTGGTGTGTTGGGTGCGGGGTTTGGTGGTGTTCGGTGTTTTGGGTAAGTTGGGGTTTTGGCGGTTTTGAATGCTCCAACCGGGTTCTAGCCCATCCATGCTGAGGTATCTCGCGTCCGACCAGGGTATAGAAGTCGGCCCTTCCTCCCCCCCCCCTCCTTCCCTCCTCCCCCGATCCCCCCCCGATTTCCCTTCTCCTTCTCCGCCCCGCGCGCGCGACGCCGCAGTCTTCGCCGCCGCCAGCCTCGGCGCAACGGACGCGGAGAAGGCGCGGGAGGAGTCTCGGACAAGGAGAGGATGGGGAAAAGAAAGGAGGGAGGAGGGAAGAAATCGGAGGGAGAACGACGAGGAGAACGACGAGGACGAGGGGGAGGATGAGGAGGAAGAAAAGAGGACGAGGAGGATAAGGAGGAGGGGGAGGACGAGGACAAGGTGGAGGGGGAGGCCGAGGAGGACAAGGACGAGGGGGTGGGGGAGGACGAGGAGGACAAGGAGGGAGGAATGAGCGAGGAGGGCGAGGGGGAGCGTGAGGAGGGCAGCGGAGGAGGACAGCGGCGGAGGAGGAGGAGGAGGGGAGTTGGGAGAGGAGTGGGTTCCTGTTGTCGCGGCCTCTGACCCGCTCAACAGCATGTCACATGTCGATCATTGGTCGGAGGGGATAGGGAAGAGGAGGAGGAGGATGATGAGGAGGAGGAGGAGGAGGAGAAAGAAGAGAAGCACAACAGTGTGCTTTGGAAGGGGGGGTCCCCGGGGGGACAGGTGCCCGATCGCGCCGCATCGCGCAGCTGCCCAAGGCGCCCGATTGGGTCGGCAGCGTACTGGGGCGCCGGCGGCCGCGCCGTTTCGCCCTCTGTCCGCGAGTCAAAAAAAGCTTTGGAAGGGGGGGTCCCCGGGGGGACAGGGGGAGGGGCAGGGAGCCACCACCACCAACGCCCTGTGGGCGTGGCGAGGTGGAGGGTGCCAGAGCCCCCCCGCCTTCCCCCTGCGGGTGTGGGGTGGTTCGGCGTCGTCGTCGGCGTCGGCGTCGGCGTCGGCGTCGTCGGCGTCGGCGTCGGCGTCGGCGTCGTCGGCGTCGGCGTCGGCGTTGTAGGCGTCGGCTCTTTCACGATGGCTGCCGGCGGCGAGCAGGGGGAGGGGAGGGCAGAGCCCTTCCTCCCTGCCCGGTCCCAGGAGCTAGGGGTCTTCTGGTTTCGGAGGGGGTATCCGGTACTTTTGTTCGGAGGGAGCAGTGATAGGGGAGGGGGATAGGCATAGGGGGGGATGCATCGACCCCCAATTGCCCATTCATTCATCGTCGGTAGGGACCCGATAGCCCCACCCCGCCCGGGAGGTGCGGTTTCGCTATCGGGGCCTATCTCCGATACATCGACCATATATCGCCGATTCCAGATCGATGTGTCCCCCTATGCCAGTCCCCTCTTATTGTTGCCCCTCAGTTCGGAGGGTGGGGGGTCCCCCAGTTTCGAGACCCCCACTGGGGCATTGTCCAAAGCGGCCTTGCGCAAGTAGTCGAATCGCAGGTCCCTGTTACGTTCGCAGGTATAGCGGAGTGTTCGTGCGCATGTCCGGGCGATTGCAAAGCACCCCGCCCCGACGTGCCCCGTTCCGCCCACGCGTTCTTGTTACACCCACCCCTCCGGGAAACGGCCGCTACGCGGAAAGGGTGAGAGGTCAATTTCCGCAAGAGAGACCCATATACACCAGCGATGATGCTACAATGAAATATTCAGGAAGGGACAGACACACACAGACATAATTGAATCGTCGACTTCCAGGAAAATATGGGAACGTCTGGGGAGTAGGGGGGAAGACGAAAACCCAGAAAATACGGGAGAAAGATCGGGGACTCCCGGGATGCGTGTCTATTTGTTTGTGCGTCTTTGGGCCCCTTTACATACACCCTCCCGTCCCATCCTCACGAGTCTCTGCAGGTTGTCCTCGGCACTGCAAGAAGTGCCCCCTTGAGTCGAGCACCCGATTGGTCATCGAGAGCAGACGAGCCTCTTAACCCTAACAACACGACGACGACGACGGCGTGGCCTCCTCACTGAGGTTGACGTCGTCGCACTAGGAATAATAGATCTGGGCGGTGTGGTTTGGTACTTTGTCTGAAAAAGACTCCCTGTAATCGTTCTTGTGGCCCTCCTGACTTATATTCCCTTCTAAAGGATCAGGGGTACTTTCGCTGCTTATCAGTTGGCCCGGAAGAGAAAGAGGAGCTGGAGGGAGGAAGGGCTTGAGAGGGAGGAGGTCGCAGGGCGAGCAGGAGGTCACGCAGGCCAGCTCGAACGAGTCCGCGGGCCCTGCCCCTTCGCACCCTACATCCCGTTGTGCCCTGATGCAGCCGGCGCCTCTGGGATCCATCCCACTGAGAGGTGGAGTTTCTATGCGATTTTTGTTTGGGCTTGGCAAGGATCAGACGGGAAGATCACAAACACAGACACAGGTAATCGCCGATGCCTAGGAACATGTGGACGATGTGGGCAGTGGCGGGGAAGACGCAGATCCAGAACAGATGCAGACGTCTGTGGACTCGTGGATTTCATGTCCACTGATGTGTGTGCCGCTGGGCCCCTTTGAAGGAGGGGGGAGACTCGGAGTCGTTTGATGCATCCATCCCCCACTCCAACACGCCGTCGTCTCTCCGCCCCTCCCTCACCCCTGCCCTCGGCTGCCCTCCCCCATCTCCCTGCCTCCTGCCCCTCGACTATCCCCTGTCCCTCTCTCCTCTCCCTCCTTCCTCTCCACTCCCTCCCCTCTCCCCTACTAATTTCCTCTCCTCGCATCTTTCCCGTTCTCTTGAACTCAGTATGTATGTTGCTCTCCTCTCTCCCCTGAAGATGGCTGGAAAGTTCTGTCATGTATTGTTTTTTGCTCACACACCGGATTGCAACAGTTGATTTGTTCTAGGGTTCTTTCAATCGGAAGTTTGCGTCTCAAAATGGAGTTCCCACGGTAGCGTTGGCCTCAGTTTAGATTCGGCGCCATGCTCCCACCGTTCAGAAAGGCGCTCTTGATCCGGATACTTTCACTTCGTTGTCGCACTTCTCCTTTCTCCTCCCCCGCCTTCCCCTGGTCGTCCTTTTCCCGCGTCTCCCACTCAAGCTCCTGCTGCTGCTGTTCACTCGCTCTGCTCCTTCCTCATCCCCCTTCCCTTCCTCAGGAACTGGCCACTTTGGACGCACGCAATTATGCCTGACCCTCGGCCTCACTTGCCAGCGCCCGCCATGGAATTGCAAGTGCATTGGAGCATGGCGCCTCCAGGGATGATGTTTGCTGGGAACGTGTTCGGCGACGGGCCGTGCCGGGACACATTGGAAGGGGACCCGGAGCTCCGGCGAGGTGGATTTGGATTGATCCAGTGTGCTCTGCGTAATTGCCGGGACGTGGAGCTCACGGCTCAGTCTGAGGGGCCTTATTTGGGAGGATAGTTAGCAGAGTCTTTTGCTTTCTATGTGTTGTTGTTGCACACGGAGGTGGACTCTGTGAGCTACCACACCGGCTGCCAGTGGGTGCTTAACTCCTTCCACGGTGGTCCGCAGGTCTGCATTGGTCCCAGCTGTACACGTGTGGGTGCAGATGTGTGACGTCTGATCTAGAATCGTCTTGACGATTTGACAGACGGGCAGGTTTCAGTCAGGAAAGTCAAGGGCCATTCACGGAGTAGTGACGACGACGTCCGCGAATTGCAGCGGTATTGGCGCCTGGGCAAAGGGTTTGCCGACCAGGTGGCCCGGCTAGGTGCCATGAGCCACCCCGCCTCAGATGAGGCGCGCGAGCGACTCGTGCGCGCCGATGTTACCGCGCGGTTTTTGGCAAGATCGATAGCGAAATGTTTGTTATCAGGAGGGAAAAAGCACAGACACAATTAACCGTCGACTTCCCAGAAAATATGGGAAAATATGGGAAGTGGGGGGGAAAACAGAAACCCAGAAAATATGGGAAAATGTAGGGAATCTTTTTATTTGTGTGTATTTATTTGTGTGTCATGGGGCCCCTTCATGTTAGTTTTTCCTTTCCCGTCTGGACCACTTCGGGTGGGCGGTCGGCGGGCTTCCCCGCCGCCCCGGTTGACGGCCGACGTCGAAACCCCACCTGGTAGACATGAGCCGGCCGCAGTGGGGGGTCGGCTGCGGTGCGCGCGATGCCTTCGTAGCGCCACTGAGCCGCAGCATCTTTCAGCGAATCGCGATGCCGGTGGTGCCGGTCACAGGCTGTGGACAACTGGCCAATCTCGACTAGACGTAAGAGTGACCTTTCGCCGGAGTGACCTTTGGTGCGGGCCCAGTGGGGCCCCCCGATCGCCGAACGCGATGCGACAGTAGCGCCTTGCGCGCCTGTGTTTGGCCCCCCGCGGCCCCCAAGAAGCCGCGCACCAAAGGTCACTCTTACCCAGGGTCACTCCTGCGTGTAGCCGACAACATGTTTTTTGTGCTGCTTGTGGGTGTTTTTCAAAGGAGAGCACCAGGAGGCTCGCGCAGCACTGCCGGGGGGGCGTGGTCCGAGGCTCGGCCACCGCTTTCCCGCTCGAGCGGCTTTGGGAGTCACGGGATCGAGAGGCGAAGCTCTTGTGGCTGATGGCCGCCCTTTGCCGTTCGGAGCGGCGCTGCTGGACGCCATGTATAGTGGGCTCCACGTGCTGCTGCCTCTTGACGGCTTAGGGGATTAGAAGGGGTTGGTGTGCCGGGTTTGCTTGGTGGGAGTGGGACGGTCAAGGAGACGGAAACGCATGTACGTGACTGCTTGTTCCACGTTCGACCCGCTGTTCAAGTTCTCTTGTAGTCTTGTGCTACACCGCCTGCGCTTTGAAGAGCCCGGCTGCAGCTCCCCGTGTCCAATTACGCATGACGCGACGGGCTTCCTTTTGGGGAGTGCAGGGTCCGTTGCAGCAGGCGTCCGCGGAGAAGGAAGCATCCGGGCGCAACGGGGAGGGATCGGCGGGATGGGCAGGACGTCAGATGTGGCGCGAGCGCGCCCAGCTTGCCTTCCCCCCCCTCTCTTGGTATCGCTCGGACGTGCGCACTTTCTCTTGGCGGGGATTATTAAGGAGCATCCTGGATCATCCTGCGGAAAAAAACACGCGCGGAACCGAAACAAAAACACAGGGACTGGACGTCCGAGGATGGCCCAGGAGGGGGGCGGAGGAGGAGGAGGAGGAGGAGGAGGAGCAGGCGCAGAGGTCGCCGCCGGACCGCGGCATGAGCGATGTGTGGTGCTCCGTCAGACGTGCTCCCCACCTCGATGTTGATCTTAAGGATTCCCTCGGTAGCTGGCATGATCGGCGTCCCATGGAGGAGCACAAAAAAAGGATTCCCTCGGTTTCTCATGGCACTCCCCAAGATTGTCCTCGCTTTTTGCTCGCCCGTCGTAGGAATAGGGAATAGGGGTAGGTTTGAGGCTGGCTAAGGCAGGAGGCTCGGAGGATCGGCGGGGGGAAAGTGCGAATGAAAAGGGCCCAGTTCGAAAAGGGCCCCTTCGTCGGAGAGGGGGGAGATGCGAGTGAAAAGGCATTCTCCAGGCGGCGGGACGTCTCAGAAGCCCTCGCGCCTCCTGAGAAGTTGTCCGCGTCTCCAGGGAAGGCGTTTAGAGAACCTCTCAGACGGCTGGAGGACTTCCGAGACTTCTGAGAAGGCCCGCCTCTTGAAACTTCCCCCCAGGGGCTCGCCGCCGAACGGAAGGAGCGAGGCAGGTGGGGAGCATCACTGAGGAGAGAAAGCCCCCTGATCCGAGTAACATACTGAGGGCGCGGCCTCACTGAGGGCCCCGTCCCTCACTGAGGGCCCCGTCCTTGCACTGGGGAGACTGCTTCTGGGCGGCTTGGCCTGGCACGCTTGCAGAAAAGACCCCCCTGTCCCTCATGTTTTTCTGGGGCCCTCCTAACTTAAGGCCCCCTCCCAGAGGGTTGCGGGTCCTTTCTTTGCCACCCACCAAACCACCCCAACCCAACCCGAAGGTCTCGATTTGCCCTCCATTTCCAGTTGGGGGGGGTCGGGGAACATCGAGAAAACACAAATGGAACCCGTACCCCCCCCAACCCGAAATTCGGGTCTTCGGGTTGGGTTGGGTCGGTTTGGCAGGTAGCCATTTCTTGGTTCATAGGAGCAGGCGGCAGCGCCACCCCCCCCCCCCGCACAGGGGCCCGAGGGCACCAAGACGCCCTCGCCCGGCCCCCGGGCGCCCCCGGCCCCGGCGCCGAGCGGTGCGCCCCCAGGCGCGGCGCCCAGGGCCAGCAAGGGAGGGATCGGGAGCGCCCAGGGGGGGGGGGGGGAGGGGGGAGGGGGGAGGGGGGAGGGAGGAGGAGGAGGGGGGAGGGGGGAGGAGGGGAGGAGGGAGGGAGGAGGAGGAGGAGGGAGGAGGAGGAGGAGGAGGAGGAGGAGGAGGAGGAGGAGGAGGAGGAGGAGGAGGAGGGGAGGGGAGGAGGAGGAGGAGGAGGAGGAGGAGGAGGAGGAGGAGGAGGAGGAGGAGGAGGAGGAGGGCGCGGCGCCCAGGGCCAGCGAGGGAGGGATCGGGAGCGTCCAAGGAAGGGGGGGGGCGCCCGGGCCCCTAAGACTCGACGAAGGAAAACGCCATAAACATATGTTTTTGGCGCTCCGCGCGGTTTTCTTGGATCTGCGCTGGGCCCCCCCCGGCGGCGCTTCTGGCGCCGCTAGTTGCGCGCTCCGCGCGCCAGGGAGGGGTGTCCTGCGCAGATCCAAGAAACCCGCGCGGAGCGCCAAAAGTTTATGTTGATGGCGTTTTTTCCCTTCCTCCAAAGACGAGGCCAGGAGTCAAGCAGTGGCGAAGCGTCCTGGCTCGCCTAAAGGTCCACCAAAGCATGTTCCAATAACCATTTGTGGTCTGCGCGAAATGTTCTCGGAACATTTCTGGCTGGGGCTGTTTTGATGTTTTTGTTATGAGAACATGTTGTGGGTTCTGAGGTCATGTCCTCGTCGGCCTACGGGAATGCCGGAGCGGTCGGTCACTGCTCTAACAAGCTGACACTCGGGTGAGGACAAGTCGATAATCCTTGAGATCCGGCGTTCTTGGAGGATGTTTCGGGCGACGCGGCCCTCGCAAAGCGCTTCTGACTGCTTTGAGAGCGTTCCTGAACCAGCTGGAACGGATGTCATCAGAGGCCGCGTAACGGGGGGGGCGATGAGTTTGGGTGGCAACGTGGGCTGCCGAAAAGGATTCTTTCAGGGCCCCGAGAGGGGCCCTCTCGGGCCCAGAAAGGGGCCTCTGCGGCCCGAACAGGGCACCTTTCTTTCCCCCTCATCGTTCATTGCCCCCAGTAAAATTGCCACACGCTAGTTCTCAAGAGGGGAAAAAACACACAGACACAATTAATCCTCGATTCCCCAGAAAATATGGTAAAATATGGGCAGTGGGGGGGAAGACAAAAACCCAGAAAATATGGGAAAATATGGGGGATATGTTTATTTGTGTATATTTATTTGTGTGTCCTGGGGCCCCTTCAAGTTCGCGCGCCATTACTCAGCGTCGTCCTAGCCCCGTCCTATGTCCCCCCTCTGTTCGAGGGGGGGGGCGGGGCGGCGGCGGCCAGGCCGTGGGCAGCGGGAGCCCAGCCGCGGGCGATGCGGGGGGGTATAGGGGGTTGTTTGAAGAGGGGGGCGGCCCTGCCGGAGGAGCCAGGCCCGGGCCGGCCGGGCCGGGATTGTCGGGGGTGGACAGAACCCCCAACAGTGACACGTCGATTAGTGAATTGTCCGTTTTCGGTTCTCGAGAGGGCGCCGTGGCCGTTATTTTCCAGGCTTGCGCCCGCCAGGTTTGGGCCTCAGGTCGTTTTCACTAAACCACGTTTTACTAAAGGGTGGTCTGTCCATCCCCGAGATTGGGGGAGTGGGGGGGGGGGGCCAAGAGGATTATGTTTCTCAGGCGATCGCATACATGTATCCAGGGGGCGTGGATTGGCGACGGGTCCCGCTTCCATGGGAGATCGCGGAGTTCCGCCGCCGAGCGAGGTGGCACCGGCTGCATTCTGGGGAGGGCACCTCCCCCGGATCCATGGATTTGGCGACCGCCCGCCAAATCCATGGATCGCTAGTCCATGTTTGCGGGCCCCCAGGTTTTGTTTCACACGATGTTGTTGGGTTTTGATTGCCCCAGTTAAGGTACCCGTTGATGTTTAACCGTTGAGATCCACCCGTTGAGTGCAACCAGTTTAATGTCATCCGTTGATCGTCCGGTTTACATTCGCCCGCGTTGGGATTCATTCGGTGTTCTTTCGCTTGGTTTAGAGTCATTCGGTTCTACTTCGCCCGGTTTGAATTCATCGGGCCGCCTGGCCGAATCACATTTTGGAATACGTCCAGTTTGAATTCTCCCGGTGTGAATTCATGCGGTCGAAATTCGCCCGGTTTTATTTCATTCGGTTTAAAGTTGCTCGTTTTGATTTCATCCCGTTCAAATTCTCACGATTTACATTCATCAAGTTGTATTTACCTATTGTAAATTCGCCCTCTTCTAAAATCGCCCGGTTTAGATTCGTCCAGTCTGAATTCGCCCCGTTAAATTTCATCCGGTTTAAGAACCGTTTGGTTGAAAGTCAACGGGTTGTCATTCGCCTGGTTCAAGCAAAGCGGGCCAAACAAAAGCGGGAGAAACAGAAGCAGGCTAAACCAAAGCGGATGGGAAAAAAACGGGCGAAACGAATTCGTAGCCCCCCGCAGTTATGGATAAGGCGGCGGGGACGTCGGCAGCCTGCGAGGCTCTGAGGAAGCCCGCCGCAGGCACCGTTTTTTTGGTAAAGCAATGTGGGTGGGTCGCGGAGGGCGGCGCGGTGGGTCGCGGGTGGTTCGCGGGCTGGGTCGCGGGTGGGTTGCGGGTGGGTCGCGGGTGGGTCGCGGGCGGGTCGCGGGGTTGTTGCGGGTGGGTCGCGGGTGGGTCGCGGGGTGGGTCGCAGGTGGGTTGCAGGAGGGTCGCGGGTGGGTCGCGTGCTGGGTCGCGGGCGGGTCGCGGGGCGGGTCACGGGGAGGGGGGGACGATGACAGCAAACAACAGACAACCCACAACAAACAACGAAAACAACAAGAACCACAACAACAGCAAAGCAACAGCAACAACAACAACAACAACAACAACAATTATTAGCACGTGGGGACACACCGTTCTCACCAGTGCCAGGGTTTTCATAGGAGGCGGGCAATACCCCCACTTTGTGGGGGGGCCGGTTCAAGCTCTACCAAATTTCCAAACGACTCTTCGCCACCACCCACACCCAGCTTCCCGCCCTATGACGTTCGGACACTTCACTTCGTGGCATGCGGACGACCGTGGCTACTATTCAGGGCCCCGCGGCCGACGACGACGGCGTGCGCGCGCGAAGAAAAAACGAATGTGTCCCGCATGGTATTATTTGACAGGGATGATGGCCCTGGCAGGTGCGCAACCGTTGTTGCAGAAGTTCGAAAAAGTTGCTCGCAAAAGCCCGTTTGACAGAAATGTTTAAAAAGTGTTGGGTTTCCTACGAATCCGCAAGAGCGCGCGGGATGAAATTTTGACATTTTTTTTGAAAAACCATTGGTTTTTTATGTTTTTATGTTAAAATCGCTACGAAAACTAAGGTTTTGGAAGGATTTCGTCTTGCGCGCGCGAATGTCCACTTTACCTTATTTTTTGCAAGGGATTCTTGAAGTTTGGTTATGTTAGAACAAGAAATGTCCACTTTAGCTTTTTTTTTGCAAGGGAAAACCGATCGTAACAACACAACCGGATCCGGACCAACCCGTTTTGCCTGAGACTTCCTTACGAAAATGATGAAAATGAGGCTGCGGCCTAGGCGCGGCGGGGGGGTCGTGCACCTGGGGCCCCAACACTAATTATTCTTTAGACGTAATAATGTTCAACAACAACAACAACAATAACAATTTTAAGATTGTTCGTTCTTATCTGCTCGAGTGTCCAATAACGCGTATTTCCCAAACCCTCGGTACCCGCTGTCTCCGTCTTCGATCGAACCCCTGTTGGGGGGTATACTTTTCTTCCCTGCAGGCCGGGCCCCGGCAAGCGGCGGGGCGGCCGCGGACCGTCGGCCTGGCCAGCGGCAGCGCTGATCTGCGGGGCGGCCACGGACCGTCGACCCGACCCCAAGAGGGACGGACAGGGGACCGACCACGACGACGACGACGACGACGACGTCGAAGACGACGGCGACGACGACGGCGACGGCGACGACGAGCGAAAGCGAGAGCGAGAGAGAACGACAGCAGGGCCACGAAGGGCACGAAATAGGCCACGAAGGGCGACAGCGGGGACACGAAGGGAATGCGTATGGGACCACGAGGAGCGCGAACGAGCGGGGGCCACGAAGTGCAGATAATGCGGGGCCACAGAAGGCAACTATGGGGCCACTGAGGGTAGCAACTGGGCCACGTAGGACAGTGAGGGGGACACAAATGGTGACAGCGGGGCCACAAAGGGCATGCACATGGGGCCACAACGGGCGCGACTCTTGGGTGCCTGGGTGTCGGGAGCGCGGCGCTTGGTCAAATTGCAGGAAAGTCCAACGCAAGGCTATTCTTCAGTAGTTTGCAAGCAAGTCTCCAGCGAGAGCGCGACTCCAGAGCGCCGGGAGAGCGATTCCTGAATAATTGGCAAGGAAGTCCCAAGCGAGAGCGCGATTCCGGAATAAACTGCGAGGAAGTATCGGGCGAGAGCGGGGGTCTTGGCTAAATTGTAAGGAAGTCTAAGGCGGTAGCCGTTGTTGTTGTAACCCTGGGGCCAGGGGCCCAGTTTGAGCAGGAAGACTTTCCCTGTCAAGAAACAGGGTGCGAGCGTCGAGGGGCACTCTTTGATTGAGAAAAAAGCAGTATGCACCTATGGGGGGGATCAACAATAATTATTCTTAAGAAGTGAGAGTTCAATTTCAATAGCAACACCGACAACAACAACAAAACCAACAACAACAACACCAACAACAACACTAACACCACCAACAACAACAACAATCAGTGTAAGACTGTTCGCCCTTTATCTGCTCGAGTGTCCAATAACGCCTACTTCCCAAACCCTCGATGTCCGCCCTCTTCGTCTTCGATCGAACCCCTGTTGGGGGGTATACCTTTCTTCCCTGCAGGCCGGGCCCCGGCAAGCGGCGGGGCGGCCACGGACCGTCGGCCTGGCCAGCGGCAGCGCTGATCGGCGGGGCGGCCACGGACCGCTGACCCGACCCCAAGAGACGGACAGGGGACCGACCACGACGACGACGACGAC